TTTTCCAGTCATACCGATTACATATTGTGCATATTTGAACAAGGCACATGATTTTATACATGGTGAACATTCCGAATCATAGTCGCCATGAAATCATCAAATATTTCAGTGGTCATGGCTTGAAAAAAAGCGTCGTCTTAGGAGGTGCCAGGTAGGAGTATCGTAAGTGCAATACGCAAAAAAAATGAAAGGATTTGGATAAAATGCGATCGCACAATAAGCGCGAACCGTGGGTCACCGATTTTGGATCAGTTCTCATGTAAATGTGCACGTGATCGTCACGGAAGATCAATCGCCAATGCCCACCACCATATCTAGTAACCTGAGTAGCCCGCTATCCACCCCAAGTGTAGTCACCTGTGCCATCAATTGTCTGACTCATTCCACTTGCAAGAACACCCTCATGCCTCGACTTTCTTCGCGCCAGAATTGTGCTTGGGTGGTCTTGAAGACTTTCCTAGACTGGTCTCGGGATGTATTCGGAGAGCTCCTCAACGTGGCTTCCATAGTAGCATATAGTAAGTGATTGAACGAAGCGAAGGCAGAAGAAAGTTCAAAGTGGAGATTAGGGCTGCACGCCGTGCCCGTCGCGCCGGTTCTACGGGTCCCGTACGACGGGTAGCCGACCCGTTCTGTCAGAGGTTCTGGGAGTTTTTCGACGGGACGGTAACGGGACGGCTTTTCAAGACGACGGCCGTCGAAATCACGGCCGTCGACGGGTGACGGATCTTTGCACAACAAATCCACGAATCTTGCATATTTCCAACATATTTTGAGCATTTATCGTGGGTGATACACTTGCATTGACTTTATGCAGTGATTTGTACTGATATGCATCACGCACGACGGCATTCCTGCTTCTCAAGTGAACCCAAGTCTTGATTACATATCTTTCCCCGTATCCTGTTCAACACATTTTCCTGATCAGAATGCAGTTCTTTCCTCAACAAGAGAATAGAGAAACACCTCACCACCTTAAAGAAGTCTTATCTATCCCACAAGCAAGTGCAGGACTGCTCACCAATGTCTTTGAAGGCGCGAATTGCCCGCCAATCTTCAACTTGCCAAAAGGTATGTCGAGAGGATAAAGTACCCCATATTTTCCAATGAAAATGGCCAGGTTTGTGTATTTTCTCTGAGTAAAACAGTAAGATGTTCCTTGAGGCTCTATTGGATGTCGGTATAGGCTAATTTCGCTCGCGGCTGAACCGGCAACTTCCGTTCACCGTCGACGGCCGTCCCGTTACCCGTCCCGTTCCGTGGAGATTTTGTTAGCCCACACGACGGACCGTTGGGTGACGGGCCGTTCCCGTTGTACACCCGTCGAAACGACGGCCGTGCCCGTGACGGGCACGGCGTGCAGCCCTAGTGGAGATCACAAGTTTTCAGGCAGTAAGAGAGAAGCCTAACAGGGTCGCTGATCCATATTCCACTGATTTCGGGATCATTAGGAGAGCTCCAAGTAAACCGGCGCCGGATGCTTTTTTGCTCTTTGAGCTTTTTACGCTTTTTTCCCATCGTCGATGAGAATCGGCACCTTTCGGCACAGAACCAAGTGTGACCATTCCGTTTATGGGTTAGCCCCTAAGGCCCGACAGATCTCATCGATAACAACATGCATTTAACCCTCACTCCGCAAATTGGGTTGTGTCAAATGCACCAAAAACTTACCTGATGTTCCTGAATAAGAGACAGAATAAGAACGACTGAAATGCTAACTGACATGGAATTTATCAGTGTGGGCAGCCTTGCAACTGACATTGCTCATATCAGAAATAGTTTCCGTTTTTTTGATATTTTTCCTGACAGACACTGATTATTTGTGCTTGACACTGCTCCTGACACTCGATATGTCAGCCGGGATTTCTGTGGCACTTAAACAATAAGTATTAGGTACAGTGTCAGGTAGGTCCCCGACACAATATGATTCATGTAGGCTGATTCCGGATGATGGCTGTTATTTGTGCACCTGATTCTTATTGTATCAACAAACTTCCTGATACGTTGTCTTATACTTATTGTTCCAGTAAGAAGTACACTGCGCCTGATACTTGGAGTGTCAGGAGCATTACCAGGTGCCAGTACACTGCATCTGATGCGGCAAGTATCGTCACAGCCGGAATTGTTCCTGACATGAGCCATATCAGTGCCAATGTCAGCCTAGCTGATCCATTGCATATGAGGTAGGATTTCCATTGTTATTATTCAATTTCTTATACTAATAGTTCCAGATACCTTTCCAGTGCACCTGACACAACTCATTTGGTGGAGTGCCTTCTACCCCCTCAACATCCCCAGACCAATGCCACGGCAAAACCGTCATAGATCTGGTTCTCGGGCATACCTGACCCATATGGTTATGCACGACCTCATTATTCCACCAGAGGAACAACATCAGGAAACGGCTTTTGGACGTATAGAGGCCCGGTCCGCAAGGTAGATCGCCAATCACGATGTAGATGCCGATAGAGCCGAAGCATCTCCATAGAGCCCGCTAGAGCCACGTCATCTACCATCGCGACTTGCTCGATCCCTCGACACCATCCTCTCTCTGGTGCGTCTTAGCGTCCTATGCTCGACAGAAGTAAGCGCATCCGTATCCACGGCCGTGCATCAGAAACGCGGCTGCGGAATCACTTAAATACCTTGCGGTGTGTGTCATGTCTTTGTTTTTTCCCTCCATCTCCCCCCCTCGAAGTCATCCCCCTACAGCTCCTCTTGTCCCCTTGCATTACATTCTGGACCTGTCCTCAACCTACTAGGTTTCACCGTCTGAGTCAGCATGTGCTATGGGACCGACGATTACTTGCGCTGTTGTGCTGTTTATCTAAGAAGACCGCCATCGAGCATTTTACTGCAAGATCAAGACCTCTGGGCCTCGTTTCCCCCTTGCTTGTTGTTTCTTCTGTGTATCACCAAGCATTCATGCAAAGGTCTCTTCAAGCTTCCGTGCCGTCACCCAAGTGCTACTGGCTTTGGATCATGGCCAACGGGTCGACAGCCCGCGCGCGCGCAACACGCAAGTAGCCCGCGATCATCCACCTCAAGTTTGAATTGTTAAGAGCTGCCTCTCCGATGTCCGGCTGGCTCCGCTACGTTGGTGAGGCTATTTCTTTCTAAGCTGTTTTCTGTAATGCCTACAAACTTGTATGTACTCGTTGTCAATGCACTCAATGCCACATTTTTTGCGTCTCATCCCGCCCAATCCCTCGTGATATTCTATCCAATCTGCCGCATGTGAAACCAACAAACCGTTTCTATGGCGGCTTTGCCGAGCTTTGCCATAGCAAGTCATGATCTACATAGCTTCATATCGCTCTATGGCTCTATGGCTCTACCATCTATGGACTCTATAGTGATCTCTGATAGAGGGTACATGCCTATGTGCCTACTGCTCTACGGGACTCTCTGTAGCACCACCTAGACATGTGGTGTTTCCCTGATGAAGATTGCATCTATCTGGTGGAGAAGCTGGTCATAGACATCCAGTCACCTCGGGCCATCCAAAACACGCGCTATCTGAATCCCGTGGTCACCTTGCAAATGCTGGGAGTCTTCATCTTGCATGGGTGTACGCTGGAAATCCCGATGACCATGGCCGCTTCACAAATATGCTCCGGGTGTCTCCGGAGTCCTTATGTCTTTGGAGTTATCCTAGATTTCATCAAAGATCACGAGGTTATTGCCAATAATTCGAATGTGCCACAGACTCCTGTAGATCAATGACTCGTTGTTGCCTTGTATCATTTAGGACGATATGGCAATGGGGCATCTCTTGAGGATGTGGCACGGGTAGCTGGTCTGTGGAAAACTTCACCGACCGCGTTGTAACCGCTATTGAGTCTCTTCATGATACTTTGGTTCGTCCGTTAACATCCGAGGAGAAAGAGGCCGAAAAGGTTTGGATGGATGAGCACCTTGGCTTCAAAGGTGTTTGGCGCGATGGCTGGCTCATGTACGATGGGACAATTGTTGTTCTTTATGCAAAGCCTGGCATGAATGGCCAGGGGTATTACACCCGGAAGGCAAACTATAGTCTAAATATTTAAGTATGTTAACTTTTATCAATTTTCTATAGCCTCCGCTCTGACTTTAAACTTGATTTTAGATCGGGAATGTTCCATAGAAGGAAAGTTGGATGAGGAGGAGGCGGTCCTAGAGTGCTCGCAGGGCCGCTTGCGAGGACCAGCTTCGTCGTCGCTGGGGGAGCGATGCCGTTTGCGGGGAGCATTACTCGTATATTATCGAGGTCCTATGAATCAGTGTGTACATGTTTGTTTTCGCCGCCTACATGCTGTTCTCCCGACGTCCCTATGTTGAGCCACCGCCGGAGGAAGAAACAGTACCAGCGCGATCAAGGCAACAGCCCGCGTAACGTTTACAAACACTCTCCATTTGCGAAGCCCCTACTGTACTATTTCGATCGATTCGGCACGGGTTGTGACCCGTGACCCAAAATACCATTTCGGCACTTCGGCAACCGGCAAATTTTGGCGTGACACCTCCAAAAATTCGGCATTCAAGACAATTTTCTTTTGAAAATTCCGCCTTTTTTGCACCTTCAAAGGAGATCTAGCCTCTATGTCACGCATATTACATTGGGCACCGGGCGTCGTGATGCGTGACCGAGACCAGAATTCATCGCGGCACAGGGGGTGCGTGACGCGTGACCGCCGAATTGATCGAAATAGTACAGTATCCCGAACGTGGGCGGCACCAAGTGCCAGGACATGAAAGAAGCCACCGCCCCGCCATCGGGGAACATCCGTCGTGGAATGTGCGCCGAAGGTAGATTTCTTGCGGAAGTGTAAAGGCTGAACCGCCATAAACATGAGTGGCTGCACGAGAAAACCGCGCTGTTCCACTGGTTGCGGGATACAATTCAATTTCCATTCACTAAGCAAAAATACTGTGCGGTTTGGCATCTGAGGCTTGGCTCGACATAAATTGATAGTTACACCGAACCGGGCTCCGCCACACAAAAAATTCTACACAACTCATGCACCGGCGGGGAATCGAACCCCAGTTCGCCGTTGAACGTTGAGGAGGAGCGTCGTCAGAACCGGAGTGGCGTGTGCAAACCATGAACAACCGGTGCTTATGCCCTAGCATTCCGACCTTGATCATTGCGCTTCTTTCCACCTTCGAGCCGTAGGTAGTCATCATCACACGACGGCCTGATTTTTTCTACAATTCGGTGCGGGACCTACTGGTCAGATAGGATGCGCAAAAGCCGCATGCCACACAACATCTTTCTCTGCACCTTGTTGACTGCTCTGCTGCAGCAGCCTAGCCACCAATGTGAACACCTCTGGCCTAGTTGCAAAAGAGGGCGGCATTGTGCAGCCGCATGCAGCTTTGCACCACAGCGCGCATCCTGTCTATTTATTTGGGCCCGACTCCGCATGAAACCGACATACATCGGCCTTTATACAACTCGCCCGCCGGCACTTGTTGCCGCTTGTACAAGCTTGTACAAGTCCGAAAAGCCGACAAGCCGACAAGAGCACAAGCTATGTCGGATTTTCGACAAGTCCCAAAAAAAAAAAGTTTTTTCAGTAGGTCCGTTGGCTTCTAGTCATCATTTCTGCGCTTTTATTTTTTTGCGACAAGTGGAACAAGATGACAAGCCGACAAGTAAATTGTCATATTACTGATGTACGCCGGCCCTGCACTACGAGCGCCCAACAAAAAAAAAACGTAATGCCAAGACCAATGCACGGGTGGGGAGTCGAACCCGAACCCTCCAAGTTATGCCCTCACCCTTGGATTAATATTGTGAGGGTGAACCATAGTAACACAACATCTACATGCCTATGTGTACGGTGCCATGCATGTTCGCACCTGGATTGTTTATTGTCAACATCCAAATTTGCGCCTGCGCAATTCATTACCTTGCACCAGAACCACGCGAGGGCTTGCTTTCATTTCGCCAAGCAATGAAGGTATACCATCAAGCCCTACCCCCCCCCCCCCCCCGTTATGTTATGCTGAGGCTGAAATGATAATGAAACCGTCTAGGATTTTGATATCGAGCCCCGAGGTGCCTCAGGACCAAGAAAAGACGAGGGCGCGTCGAGATTTCTTCCCATATTGTACGTTCCAGGTGAGCCCACTCCCAGTTGCATGTTTGGTGCTGCTCTGAAGCCACCCGATTCACACCATGGAAAAATATAAGCGCGGTGGGTTGCCTCGCAGCCCCCACTTGAGTTGACCAAGTCGACTTGTGAGCGCTGGAATAGGCGCTAAGAGGCGGGGCGCTGACAGCGGAGTTTTGAAAATTTAAAGACTTGGGACGGGCAGAGAAAGGTATTTTTAAAAAGAGGGTGAATTCAGACAAATGCGAAGATCTGCGGCTTAAGAAGAGCAAAGTTGGAGGGAGAAAAATATGCCGACGTCGGCAAGTAATGCCCCGGCGGAGAATCGAACCCCAGCTCGCCGTAAGATTATATTCCTCCTTTTACAATCATGGCGGGTGCAACCACACACGACCGGCGCTTGTACCCTCTTGCTCTGACCATAATCAAGTGTACACCTTCCATCTATGACTGCGTACGTAGTTGAATAATTCAAATCACTTGGTGCACAGCCCGAGTGGTTTTAATCGAATTTCTCTGGTTCCCCCGCTAATTCGATTGAGTAGCCCAACCTTTCCTCGGACTGAGTGTGCGGCGCGCCGAACGAGAAAAAAAGACGGAATGTGAAATAATATGTACTGCCGGGGAATCGAACCCCAGCTCGCCGTAACCTCCCTATATGGGCGATATATTATCGGCGGTGACAGCGGACCGATCTCACGGGAACGACGGGTGAAAGAGACTGGCATTATGCTGTAATCTCATCATCATGGAGTGCACAGAGAACAAGGACATCCGACTGCGGCCTCGCAAGATGATCGAATCTGTGTTCGAATCTGCTCTTGTCGTAATGCCATGTCGTCGCCGCCCCGACAATGACCCCAACCAATAGGCCGCCCAACTGATGCGCCCCCTTTTCAGACCAGACCATACGTTCAGTAAGTGGGCAACCCGGAGCAGGCCGGCGGCATTTACAAGCAGCATATTCGATTATATACATTGGGCATGAGGGACAAAAGAATTGGTTTAATTCGTTAACATCATCCAGAAATATTCTCCTGCGGGACGAGGATTACCCGTTTAATCGCAAAAGGTGATCTTGAAAGAAACTCAGACCAAGATAGCACTCAATTGACAGAGATATTTACCACCAGGTTGGCATTGTCCGCCTGGCAAGCGACTTGCACGTGGGTGTCGGTGGACTTGTGGAACGCAGTGGTGCAGGTGGCGCTGGTACCTGTACGGTCTTTGAGCAAACTGGACCAGGGAATGGTTGAGGGAAATTCACAGTCAGCGCCGGCCGGTGCGCACGCCCCAAGATAACTACCAGTAAAATGTGAGGAGAGTCGACTGCCTAATGTGACTGTGCCTTACCCAAAGCCGGTGGTGACTGAAAACGCGTGTGGGGGAATTAGGGAAATGTCGGTGCTCGATCCCGAGCCCGGGGTGGTGGGATTCTTGAGGGTGGTCTCAACGAGCGTGCAGCGTTCTCCGTTGAAGCCGCAGTTGCCTGGAAATCATTTGGCGTGAGGAAAACGGAATGATAAACAAATATCAACTTGAGAACCCACCGGTTTGAAGATACGCAATGGCGCCAATAAGCGGACCGTTGGAGGTGTATGCAGCACCAGTGGAGAGGACGGCGCCATTTTGGCTGATGAGCGTGGGCTACCCGCCCGAAATTCAGTGATAATGCCAAGGCATACAACGAAGCTACCGACCGTTCCGTGGCCGCAGCTAAAATTCTGAATGAGTGAATGTCCAATTAGGTGAGTTTACCCACTGGTTAGCGAAGGTGACAGTGTGGCTCTCAGCGACAGCGTGGCCCGCGGCGACGGCAATCACAGCAACAGTAGCAGCTTTGATGGAGGAGAACATTTTTGCAAGGCAGGAGATGTGAAGAAAATGCGCTGGGGACTGATTAGAGGAAAAGCGAACTTGGAAACTCCAGCCACGAAACCGCCCTTTTGAATGTTAAGGAAGAGGGTGGGAATCGAAGAGTTGAGTTTCAGAAACAGATTCAACTCTGGGGTGCTGATGTAGAGAGTTGGATCCTCTCACCGAGATTAGCTAAATCGTTAGCAATTCCACGTTGGGTTTGATACCCAATGCCAGCATTCCGCGCAAATTCTGAAACTAACTCCGATCGCCCATTTTCGTTGCGACTTACTCGGCGTTATGTTCCAGCCGGCCGCAGCCGAACATAGGATCGTGAACCGAGAAAAGAAGACATCTCCCCAGCGAGCGCATGGAGCATCATCCACTCATTATTGCCGATATTGCAGGTCTTTCCGGTCTAATTCCGAGCTTCTGATTCACCAAAAGATGGCAGCACAATTAACACGCTGTGAGAGCGGGCTTACAAAATCGATTGCTGCCCACAAATATTCCTGAATAGAGTCGACGGAGCTTGGTTCGAGTTAGAACCCAGCTCCGTGACTGATGGATCACGGCGACAAAAATACCTACTCCACAATTCACGGCATTGTGGTCGTATGCTTACGCAGTAACCGCATACTCTAAAGTGTTTGAATTCTTGGGGCCGCGCCCCGCAATCTCCGACAATACCAATTCCCGAATCAGTTCGGTGAGCTTGACGCACTCATAGCACTGAGGGCGCTATGGAAGCACTACCATTATAGCGGCGGGGGCGACAACAAGCCGCGCCGCGCAATCTTTTACAATAGCAATTCCCGAATCAGTTCGGTGAGCTGGACGCACTCATAGCACTGAGGGCGCGATGGAAGCACTGCCATTATAGCGGCGGGGGCGACAACAAGCCAACAGATTTGTGGAGCATGAGCGGAACTGGAACTTGGAGATTGTGCCGAGCACACTTGGGCAGCAGATGTGATGCCTCAATTTGATCACATTTCCGGACCGATGCAAGCGCCGCCGACGCCACCGCTGCTCCGCCGCGGCGAATGCCCTTCAGCTCCCGCGTCTCACAACTCCAGTAAGGTTCGAACGCCTCCCTCTACGTTGAACTAGTCAAAGAAAGAGGTCCAAAAGAATCAAATCGAGTTCCATTTGGATGCTTGGCGCCAAGATTGACAACAATAATTTGAATCGCAGATTAAACACCCCCCTGAAACTAGATCATCCATTTCTAAAAGAATTGAATTAAGGCATATGAAGATGAGCGTCATGGGACAATGTGAGTCGCCGGATCATCAACACACCAAGGGTTTCATCCGACAGCTGGTTCTTTAAAAGCGTGTCTCTTGACCACTGTTACATTGATTCGCAAACGTCCACTACAGATATGTTCGCTTCCCTCGTGTTCGCCACCATTCTGGTTGCTGTTGCAAATGCAACACACACCATTACTCTTCGTGTACATCGGCATTGTGCAGGTGTTGGCCTCCACTTCACCGACTCATACTGGGTTTGAAGAATAAGTGCTCCTTCGGCGTAGGAATGACGGTCAGCAACTACCCGAACCAGGGTGCACCCTACACAGGTAAATTATTGCTCTCCTCACTTGCTTGAACTATATTCTGATCCCACCAGGAAACACTGCCCCGAATATTCCAGCGGGGCAGAGCTTCGCTGTCGTTGTCCCCAATGGGTGCGTAATGTTCAGTCGTCGAGTGAACCGAGATTCAAGCAATGCCTCGCATTAGATGGAACGGCAAGTACTAATCGTTCTGGTGTCGTGTGTCTCAGCTCAATTGAGCAGGTCGCATTTGTGATCGCCCTCCGAACTCCGGTGTGCATCTTCCGTGTACTTCGAGAGTCGTTTCTCACTATTTCGTTTTCAGGATGCGAGAACAATTGCTTCGGCGGAAGTGAGTGAAATTAAAATAGCATGCATATGAGCTCTAGATACCTACGGGCGTTTTCAGTTGCATTCGGAGAAGCGCCATGCTCTATGACCGAGGTACACACCACGTCTAGGTACTTCGTATCGAGTTCCCGATCGATGGCTTTGACAGTGGACGTTCGACTCCGCAAATATTGGCGGTAAAACGTGAGTGACCGCCTTGAACGATGTTGTTTCATGGCTAATGGTACTGAA